CCAGCAAAGAACACCCAAAAGCGAAGTGTCACTTGTAAAATGTGCAGCACAAGGCGAATTTATACAAGGTGGCGTTGCTAGAATTCGTCGCGGTCCTTCTGAATGTGAAAATGATGGGGGGGTTGTTGTATTTTTGGGTTTTGAACTTGGGTATACTTGAGTTTTTTCTCAACCGATATCACCTTGTATTAATTCACTTTGGTGGAGCGTTCAGCAATAAAGGAAATGAGCTTTAGCCTGAAGAGGCGCAATTGCGCCAACACACTGTGCTGAATCCGACAGTGGCGCTGGAGTTAGTGCACCAGCGCCAAAAAATTTGCGCCGTTACCCAGGCCTAGTTACAATTACTTCCAGTCTTGTGAACAATGCAGGGAGAACTTTACGGTTTGGGTCTGCAGAAATTTCGATGGGTTGAATCAAAGAGTAATGAGGAACTAGTCCGGAACTTTTATACTTCAGCTGTAAAAGAGGGTATCATGCACCTGAGAATACTGGGACTTAACTAGATATTGAGATTGGATCACAACACAGCTGAATCAGAAGAAACAGCGGACCGTCCCTTCTGGGTATTCACTATATTCTAGCTAAGAATAAATATCTGACCACTTTGAAGTTTGTATTCAAGTCTTCCTATACTGGCCTCATTGGGAGACATAAAACCACTGACGTTACTACGATCAAATTTAGCAGATGCCCCTATTTGCATATGAAACAGCTGGTGTTTTGCTGGCTCGGTTCAACCAACGCTATTCCATGGCTTTGACTGAACAAATATGTAAGTCTTTACTGGTCTTCCAGAATATTTTCATTTCACACACAAAAAACTGTAACATCGTGAAGCCGCTTTTTTTGCTTTTCCTTTGATTTGTTCTCGCTTTTATTCAACTCTTGGCTACGTTTGCCGACACAGTCTCAAAAATAAAACCAAATTTAATTCTTCTTCAGCTCTTTGGAATGCTGCAAGTGAATCTTGCTTTAATGTCACCACCGAAGCTCAAACATTTTTTGGTCGACATCACGATTGCAAGCGGCTCAGTAGCTCTCAGTAAGGCATGATGATGAATGGCCGAAATCAAAAGTCACACACTTAAGGGCAGGACTATCATTACATATATGTACATACGTACACATATACATTTCTGTTACAAATGCACGTACTTGCCAAGAGAAAATAAAACATACTTACGTACATACATGAAAAAATATGTCGCAAAGTCTAGCATTAAGATGCACTCTAAACCAGTCATTGGAGTGGAATTTCCAGCAATGATATTTCTGTTTTAGATATTTTAATAAATATATGCACATATTTACATACGGTCATATGTTTCCAAGTTTTCTGCATAGTTTATATACTTTTCCTAAAACTTAGTATTAAAATATTATGAAAATGTCATCCTCAGCTTTCCCTAACTTACTTGCACTTGAAAAATATTTCATTCTCTAACACTCGTTTCCACTCTGCCACTAGTGTCCACCCACTCGTCGACTCGATAGTTTTGCTGCCTAGTCTCTCGTTCTTTTTTCCCCCCCACCCCCCTTCAAGTTCTTTGTCGGAATGACTCTTCAAAATCCATGCAAATACCTAGAGGCTTGCATATGTTCTTAAAAATGTGAATTTTGCAATGTGAAAAATGAATTTTGTGATTTTGTGTTGTTAGTTGGTTATATGTCCGTTGTATGTACGTATGTATGTTACTCTATTTGTTTGCGTAACCATTTTAATTTGCCTCTATTAGTTTTTGGTTTTACTACAAATGAAATTCCTTTTGCAGCTGCTTGGTTTTTAATTTTGGTTTATTTACTTTGAGCTCAAATGTGCAGTTATATGCAAGTATATTTCCGTTCGAACATGTTTTACAGTCTTTCGTCTTGTTACATACACACATACATATGCATGTACTATGCACGAACATATGTAGTTATTCGGCTTTGCGGCACATGGCGTATGAGTAATATTTGAACCGAATTCAATCGAATTCAATTATTTAGAGCACATAAATCTCATTGGTAGGTTTGATTAGTTATAACAAACAGAAATATTAAATAAAAGAAATAATTTTGTCTAAGAATTTAATTATTTTTATACATTTTGTGAGCTGACGAAAGTAAACTAAATCTTATTTAGACAACACTGCGTATACGCAACCTGAATGAAGGTTTCTTCCATGCTATAATAAGGGGAGCTATCTTTGAGTAAGATAAAATTCAGATGAGAGAAGATTATAAACGATATATATGTATGTATGTAGGCAAAAACTGAAATTTATAGAAGTCCAAAAATTCAATTTTAGGGCATAAAGGTTTATATGAAAGAAATAAATAAAAATTTAAGGAATCGGACTCCACGCTAATTACAACCTTAATTGGAAGCCTGCTTATCAATTAATAAACATTTATGAATAGTGCCTAAAAGTATACACTATAAGATGCTTTGTTATAAATGTACATATATGCAATGGCGTACTTCTCAAATGCCGGAAACAAACAATGATGTCACAAATTATAGACCCATTTCCAAACTTTTCGAAAATATTTTTGCTGCTAAAAAAATAATCGAACCGTATGAGCATCGCTTTGTCAGTGGGCGCTCGAAGGTCACGAAACTAGCCTATTTTTTTCAATTTACGTATCATCGTTCCAGAGTGGTTGCCAAGTATGTAGATGTAATCTACGCTGACTTCTCATAGACCTTTGACACTGTTACACATTAAAGTTTTATTGCTTGGCTATGTTTTCATTCAGTATTCCTACCTTCGCCTAGATCGTATGTATATATCGAAAAAAACTGCTTTTGTTGAAATAGCGTAAATTAAATCACACAGATTTGAGGCCATCTCTGGGCTGCCTTAGCGTGGTATTTTGCGGACGATTTTATTTCTCCTTTTTATTAACGAAATTGGGATTTGCTTTAATCACTCGAAATTTTTGATTTATGCAGACGACCGACAATTTTTTTAGACGTATTACTTGTGTGTCGCGTGTTATGCCTTTGCAAGAGGATACACTTAAACAGTCACATCCAACACAATCGCGAGCTTTTGAAACTAACACTATCGAATTTTTGGAGACGTATTAATTAGAAAATTGGATTTTTTCAAAACATCGATGTTAACATCGTTAAGCGCGTTCTTTAATAAATGTGTAAAGAATACACAAGAAACACTTTGACGTCAGGATATTTTTAAAGGACTTTGAAACTTCAAAAATATGACTAAATCAAAAGTTATATTAAACATAGAATAAAAATATGGTAACCATATGAAAGAGAAAATTAAAAACATTAAAGTTTTTTAAAACTAATTTTTTTTTAATTTCTAAGCTAATTCAGAAATTCGAGGTTGTGGTCGTGTATTTATTATTTCTTAACATATATATAAAGTTATTTTCCAAAACTGAATTCTCCAAATTTGCAAGGATATTCAAGCACAAAAGTTTAAAGGGTCATTTTCCATACCTATTCGTCCTTATGCACCAAAAAATTTTATATTTCTTTATTGAAAAGAATTTTATGTCTTATTTGATACCCACGTTGTTATTCTACATTGCATTATTTTTTTTTAATAACTTTTTGAATTAATCATATGTATGAAATTTCAAAGTCCTTTAAAAAACAAAATTAGCAGTTTTACTATATTTTGCCCATAGTTATGTTTTTTTTTGTATGTAAAATTTACTATCGCACGGTGATATTAATCAAATGGCTAAAAATTTCTAACGATTAAAACTTCCTTGTTTTTATTTGCTATTGTAACCACTGGTCAGTTTAGGCTGATTTAAAAAAAAAAAAAAAAATAGCGTGAATTGCCTTCACTCTTCGCAAAATTACACCTTAAGCATTTGGTTCTTCCAATGTTTTCATTTCCGAGTCGCAGGAGCTTTTCAATGGCTCATCATCATCAAAAGGTATGACATGCCTAAGCCAGCGCAATCGCTGCATTTTTATGCGATGGGCTATGTACATGCCTTTAAAAAGATTTTCTTCGCTGCATCGGTTGATCTCGTAAAGTGAGCCAGCGTCGCTTTCTTGCTATTCAAAAGCACTAGATATTCGAGGTACCGTACCAGATCTAAATCTTTTCTTTTGCAACAACCAGTCCCAGATTACTAACCTTTTCATTTGTTGCTTTATTTTCTAGTAAAAATTTGGCGCTGCGTTCCTGTCGGCCAGTATGTTAAGCCCTTTGATCTAAGGCCTCTCTACATAGTCTACAACGTTGTCCGCAGTGTAGCATCCTTAATGCATTTAAAATCTGCCTATAGAAATTATAAAGAAATTCTGATTGGAGTAAAAAAATATTTAAGTAGATTATTAAAATTTGTCTAATTAAAAGAAACGCTCTTCCTCATCCATCACACCGTAATTAGAGTATAATCCCATGCCTTTTTTTTCTAAGAATGTTTACAAATCCTAACGAACGTATGCAAATATGAAGAAGAAATATTTCATAAAAATAAAAATAGCATAAAACGGCCTTTCAAATTTCTTATTCTTAAAATTGATAGGATAATTTAGGTAATTAGGAAATTTTTAGCCAACCCAAAATTTTTCTCAACAACTTGCGATAATTCTAAGCCAATGCGCAATCAACTCAACTGCCATGCCAGCATTTCTGCCTAATCGCTGGGCCCCACCCATAGTTTAAGCTTAAAAATAAATTTTTTTTTTCGCTTTTCTGTGCTCATTACGACAAAGAATTAATGACTAAAATGCTATATGATATCTCATTACTGTTGTCGTTGTTGTTGTCAGACGCCAGTCAGCCAGCCAGCGAGCCAGCGAGCCAGTCAAGCGAACAAAATTTTCAGTTTCACTGATTTCTCTACAAAATTTCTGCATGTAGTTGTTTGTGTCGGAGTGACTGGCGGCTGGCTGCTGGTCGCATGCGCATAATGTGATTGTAGAAATAATGTGTGCGTGTGTGTCTTTGTATTTTTGTTTTTTTTTTTGTGTTATTTGCGAGCGGGCGTAGAAGCAATTAATTTGATTGCCTACTTACAGTTCACATTCAGCGTGACAGTTGTCTCCAGCGTATGACCCTCGGTCATGGCACGATTCCAAACGACGCATTTATATTTGGCGCCATCGTCAGCGCGTCTTGGCAGTATTTGCAATGTGGCATTGGTGTAATGATTCTTGGAGCCGCCTTTCAGTATGTACGATTGTAATGGCACAGTACTGCCCTCGCGATACCAACTGCAATAAAAAACGAACAAACAAACAAACCCAAGGAACAATAAGTAAAGCGAAATAAAATAGGCGAGCAGAGTAAAGTTTTAAATGGAGGAGAAGTGCAGTTAAAGCGTTGTGGGTGTACACTAGGGTGGTCCAAAAATGTATGGGAGAAAAGTAAAATCGGAAATTTAATGCTCTCACCCCCTAGGATTGTTCTATACCGAAAAAAAGTATACCCCTGTTTTTTTTTATTTTAAAATCAAAATATATTTAGAGATCGCTCAAAGCGCTCAAAGTTTCCCATGTATTTTGTATGGGGAAAAAATACTTTTCGTAGAAATGGCATAGAATCCATGAAAATCAAAATTTTTCATTCTGAAAACTCTGCTTCTCTTCAGAGGACTTCAGAGAATACGGCCCAATTGTTTATTTAAACATTTTTTAATTTTAACTATTTTTCTTTTTTTCTTTTGTATATTTGATTTTTTTGGGGATATTTCGGAGACCCTTAAAAAATAGTTAAAACTAAAAAATGTTTAAATAAACAATTGGGCATTATTCTTTGAAGTCTTCTGAAGAGAAGCAGAGTTTTCAGATTTAAAAATTTGGATTTTCATGGATTCTATGCCATTTCTACGAAAGCTCTTTTTTTCACCATACAAAATACATGGGAAACTTTAAGCGCTTTGAGCGACAGGGGTGTACTTTTTTTCGGTATAGAACAATCCTAGGGGGTGAGAGCATTAAATTTCCGACTTTTCTTTTTTGTGGACCACCCTAGTGTACACACAATCATACATGCATACATACATACACACGTATATGAATATGAACTTTAATGCTGGAGTGTGCAAATATATAACAGCAAACGATATGCGTTGAGACGTTAGCAGGGATGGGCGCAAGTAAAATTACAAAATAATTTATTGACTTTCTTGTATGAGTTGACAGCGCACAAGCTACAGCTTCTGTCTTCGTTGGCTGGCTGTTGGTATATGTATACGTATATTAGGATGTGAGTGTGTGTGTGTGTGTGTGGATTTCTGCAATCAAACCATTTCACTTTTAAATGTTCATTTCTTTTTAATTAAGTTCTAGTGTGGCTGTGGTGACAGTGATTTTTTTGCTTGCGAAAGAGAGAGAGATAAGATAATGGTTTCCGATGACTGGCTTTGTGTATTCGGGAAGTCGACTTGAGATAGTTAAATTTTTAATATTTTTCCGCCAATTGTTACTCAGCAGAGCCAGCAATATCGTGTCTAATGTTAGCAGTAAAAGGTGCGATTTTAAACAGATTTAATAGCAAGTAATTGAAGCACAAGCCTGCTGCGGTTGAGATCAAATTTTTCTTCCAATATCTTTTTTTGTTAAAAGCGCAACCCTTATTTAGTTAAAATAATTAAAATCATAATTAAATATTGCAGAATTTTTTTACAAAAATCCTGCAAGTTTGTAATTCCTTGTTAGAAAAAGATATTAAAATCATTTTTAGTGAAAAAAATGATAAAACGAACTTTCGAACATAACTCAATACAATAGAAAGGATTTTAATTAATTTTTCTCTGAAATGGGAGGTTTTTCAGTAAAATTAATTTGCAAGACTTATTAAGCTTTACAGTTTCAATGTTTAAATGACTTCTTCTTTGGATAGTTGAAAATATTTTTGGTTATTTTAGCTGATAGTTGAAAGTAGTTTTAATTAGTTATGAGAGCTGCAAACTGGGTTAAGAAATTTGTATAGAAGAAAATTTCAGTTTCATTTCTTGTGCGTCATTTTATATGAATTTTTCGTTTTTCTTGAGATCTGGGAAACAACCCTTTAACAGGGAAAAAATTAAGAAAATAACGGATGCTGTCTAAATTTTTTGCATTTGTGTTAAAGCCTGTTCTGTTACTAAAATTCAAGCTACTAATGAAAAAATTCTATGGGTAAATAAAGAAGGAATGAGTGGTTAAATGAATTTTTTGTATGAAAAATGAGCAGGAAAGAATTTTACTCATGCGCCATGTCCACCAGATTAGTACTCTTTTCTGCTGAGAATTCACACAAAAAATCCATCCTTTCTTTCCATCTTTTCTTCATTGGTAGCATAATTTTTTTTTTTTGTAAAGGAACAGGCTTTCATGCAAAATAAAAAATTTACAACAAAAAAAAAACGTTAAATTTTTATTTATCCCCTGTCAAAGTTTGGAATGTTTTCATAAAAAAAATCTGGAACGATTAAGTAATTTCTCAGAAACTATCAGGTCTATCGAATTTATGCGGTTTATGGTGAATTTCCTTTGCTTTAATTTTCCGTATTTTATGTTAAAAGTGTTTAATTGGCTTGTAAAATATGTATGTGATTAAGTGGAATCGCGTTTTTAAGCTGAATAACGGTAAATGGCAAATATCTATCTCAAAAATTTATCCATAGAAAAAAAAATTATTAAAAAAAAAAAAATGACCCAATGGCTTCACACTTGACTGCACTAAGAATGGGGTCAACTAACTATATTCATCGCAACCAAAGATTTGGTAACTAAATATAACCAGATTATGTAACTGTAACCAAATCAAGTGTTGAGAGAAGCCTAACATACAAATTTACTTGATGTATCTAAATACTTTTTCAGTGTAAATGAAGGCGTATCACGAAAAAAAAATTTAGCGTGGTCAATTTCATTTGAATTCTTATGTCGAGAAAAAATTTTGGGTGTAAAATTTTTTTTTATGCACCCGCTAAAAACCACAGCCAAAATTTTCTCTCGACATAAATATTTAAATAAAGCTGACACACGCTAAACTTTTTTTTCTTTCATACATATCTCGTGATATGGCTTTGTGTACATATACTTTCCAGAATAAAATTGACTTACATTCGAAGCTTCACAAAATTCATATGAAAACTAAATTGCTCCTGGATGTTCTCTTAAATTTATTTCCGAATTCATTTGGTTTTTCGTACTCCACAGCGTATACGTAACATTCGACTCATCTCCAATTTATCAGTTTGCTCTAAGGTCAACATAATTTTCAAAGTCAATCAATTTACGTTTACTTTTAATTTCATTTTGAACTTAGCTTTCTTTTGCCATCGTCGGTTGGCTTTGCTATGATTGAGGTGCCCGAAATGGCGCATAGATGTATGTACAAGCTATATATGTATATGTATATAGTACTTACATACATACTTACATGCATATGAGTAAAGGCATTTCTGTGAATGATAAATTGCTCGAAAATCTTTGGCATTGGTTACTTTGCAAAAGCTTCAAATATGGAAGAGATAAATGAGCAATTAAAAGCGCTGCGCACAATTCTCTATCTGCGCAATACTGCATACATATGTACATATGTATGTATGTAAGTGTTTAGAGGTTTACGAGATGTTTCAAAATGTTAGCATTTCTAAAAATTTCACATGTCATTCAATCAGGAGAAATTGTAACAAGTGTGAATAAAGAACACTAAGCTGCCGGGCATTGCAACAAGTTTGGCTTAAACAATTTGTGGGATAGCCACATTCATAGTTTAAATATTAGTTGAGCTTAGGGTTGCCAGAATTTTTTTTTTTGCACGAAATCAGTACTTTAGACTTTTACATGCTATAAAAATCAGTACTTTTTAGTACACTTGTACTCAAAGCAAAGCAGAAAATACTTTAAAAGGCCAGAATTCTTGTTTTTGACAATATTTTGGTATATAAATAATGTGTAAAAAAAAAAAATAAATAGCTAAAGAATTCTTTACATATCATTTTAAAATTTTGGAGTTTAGAATGTAGGAACCAATAGAGCTTTTAATACTGATTCAAATTAAATATGTATACATATATGTCGGTTCGAGGCCATAACGCAGAGAAACTCTTACTAGTTTGAAGCATTTTTGATTCAGCTGAATCGGACGATATCATTCTTGTAGGCCTTGTGGCAGATTCTGTAACCAGTTAGCGACAATTTTCGAATCGGTAGCGGTTTTTTTGACGTATGATATGAAATTTTCCCATATTGATGCGAAACTTGTCGCTAACTGCTTACAGAATCTCCCCCCTGAAAGGCTTTTTCATTCGTCAAAGTGTTTTAGCCGATACCATATAAATTAGTAAAAAAAGTTTTTGAAATGTATAGGGTTTTGATTTTTACGTAAAAATAGTGTAGCAGTGCAAAGTATGCACAACTGGGCTATAAGAATTCCCTAAAAGGAGTATCTAACTCGTATGTCTTGTATGCAAAACTCTTTTAAAGTGTCAGAAAAAATAATTGTAAGTCGTCGGCAAAAGCCATTCAATTATTCAAATTTGGTATTCAACTGATAACTATTTACCAACACTCGTCAGCCCTGTTTTGAAATAAATTATAGTCCATCAAATTATCGCAATTGGTAAGTAATGACTCGACGATATGCTCATAAAATAATTGCTCTTTTCGTTGTATTAATTTCTATTCTAATTCTTCTATAATTAAATTATTTTCTTCTCACATTTCTATAGTACAGTTTAACGAAGTTCCAACGCTGTGTAAAACCCTTAAAAAATTCTAAAGTATTTTGTTTGTGTAAAATAAAGTTACACAAACAAAATACATGGGGAAAAATTACCGAACACTGAGTTACCGAGTACCCAGTATGGTGGGAAGACCCCTATTACAAATCTATATGCTCAGAATTGAAAATTCAGTACAAATCAGTACAAATTTTGAAAAATCAGGACATTAGCTTACTGATTGAAGAAATGAAAAAAATCAGTACGAGAGTTCAAAAATCAGTACTGTACTGATAAAATCAGTACGTCTGGCAACCGTAGTTGAGCTAAGAGTGCCAGTTACTCGATAAAATTCGATAACTCTAAAAATTTCGATAGCTATCGATAATCCTAGATAACTGTGCGTTTCCAGAGCTGGACAAATTTCGATTATTCAAAAATTTACATATCCCGATATATATATCGATAACTCGATTTTGATAGCTAGCTAAATTTCAATACCTAAACGACAAATTTAGATAACTGCAAATAATCTGAAATTTCGATCTAATAGTGATAACTCGATACATTCATGAAATTCTAGAAATTTCGATAACCCAATGTAGTTTAAAAACTTCCAAAAACCACGAGTCCATAAGCCTACAATTTTCAATAATTACCAGCAAATTCCGATAAAGCAATAAATATCGATGGCACGATAATTTAAAAAGAACTCGATAAATTTCGTTAACTCGATAAACTTCGATACCTCTATAAATGTTGATCAGTCGATAAATATTGACTATTCAATAAACATAAAATAAAATTCTACCCATCTGCTTTAATTTTCTCTTCCTTTCTATTTTTATTTTTCCACTTTGCTCTGATTGTTTAGGGACCAATAACTATATTGCTGTTCATATTTGCTTGCTTGTGTATATACATACACTAACTAACCAAAGCATGTGTGTGTGTGTGTGTGTATGTATGTGTGCCAACTTTATTTGCTTTCTATATTCTGACCTGTCATTAAGTTACCCATTTTCACTTGACTATTTCACTTTTACTTACGTTATCATTGGATCCGGTGAGCCACCCACGCTGCTGCAAGTCAACTCCAATGGCTTATCCTCGGTGGCGATGGCTATGTTGCCGGGCGTTATCATCGGCGGATGTGGCGGTGTCAAAACTGTCAAATTGTAAAATTCCTGATGCACATCGGCACCTGTGCCTTTGGCCTTGATCCGACACTCGAAACGGCCATTATCGCGATTGTATGAGGTGTTTTTTATTTGCAAGTCATAAATCCCACGACCAGGACGAAAATCTATTCTGCAAAGAGAGAGTGAGAACAAGGACAAAGTATAAGTAAAGGTATCTGCGAGTATAA